TAATTGCGTGAGCTCCTATGTATGTCTTATGTGTTATTATATTGTACTGACAAAGATTACTAAGAAAAAAGGTGGTATCAACAACAAAATTGAGTTGTTCGACTTTACGAGAGTCAATAAGAAAGGAAATTGGGTCAATCAATATGGGAAAGAAACTCATGTAAGTGTTATCATATCTAATTAACTATTTATTTTATCACTTCTTTCTTTTATGTATAAAACTAGCTATTGTTTTGATTTCTTATGTTGTCCACCAAGTGATATCTTTTTGGTTTGTAGACAAAAATGGTAGAGAAGGTGGTTGCAATTAAGGACAATGACCATCCTATATGTGAAGATGAATCCTTCCACGAGATTCTAGGCAATGATCCTGGTTACTATAAAGGCTTAGGTATGGTCCACCACGTCTTCCTGTAAAAGGAAAAGAGTGCAACCATGTTGTCCCTATCGAACTACGGGCACTGAGCACCCAATTGTTGGATGAAAACAAAGATTTAAAAGATAAAGTTCATCAAAATGAAGTAGTAACTACGTGATTGATGGAAGAGAACAAGGATTTGAAAGAACAACTTCTTGAAAATCAGGCAACGACTGCAAAAACACAAGTAGATGTGGCGAGCATTATGCAACAGCTTCAGAGTAGTGGGTTCAATATCAATCTAATAACTTGTAAGTAATCCCCATTTCATTATACCTTGTGTGTTTGGAATTTTAGAAGAACCTTTGGACATGTTTTCATGTAGGTGCTTTTTGTTGGGTTTATCTTCCTTGTTGCTCGTCATGTGGTTGGCTTAAGATGATATTGTTGCTTTAAGTGGCTGATTGTTATGTTTTATTTTATTGTGGATCTACTGTTGGGATGGATGATGATGAGTAATTTAGTACTATTATTTTTAATTGATGAAGAACTTTCGAACTTGTGTCATGTGGTTGTTTTTAATTGTGATATTTTTTATGTCTTGTCGTTCTGCTATTGTTTGCTTGGGAGGATATTGTTATATTTTTAATGGTCTGGCTTTGTTTTTAGTTATTGTGATAGATACTATTGAGAAATATGATAAGAAGAGAGAGGAGGTTGTCTTTTGAATTTTGTATTAGGTGGATATGGTCATGCTAGCAATGTTGTCATATCTGCATGAATGAATGGGTCACCATTGGACTGTGGCTTGATGTTTGCATTTGTTCCGGTGAATTTCAGCAAATAGAATTTCAGATTGGGTTGACTAGAGGAGGAATTTACCGGCTGCTCTAGTCACTTCTCTAAGATTGCTTTAAGTACCATTTGTTGCAGCTTTTGTAGCATGACCATTGATGTGTGAAAGTTTTTGGTTGTTGTCACCAATGTAGTCAAAATCCCGATTTTAATCTTAAAATCTTACGATTTTACGATCTTACCTATGGGTTCCGATCATGATTTTATTGTAAAATCTTTGAACCTTAAAATCCCATAAAATCCCGATTTAAAACTCTAAAATCTTTAAAATCTAAGATTTCTATGATTTTGTACGATTTCAAGGTTTACATCAATTGGAGCAAAATGAGGCTGGTCAAGTCTGGTTCTGTCCATAAACCAAGTCAAGTTTGATTCTCACGACCCAACATAATGAACAACGCCACCCTAACCCAATAGACAACACTCAATTTATTTTGATTCTCTTCTTCGTATCTTCCTCTTTCGCACGTCGACCCCCAACTCCTTCCTTCAACGATATCTTCCACTCTCCCAATTAGCTTGTAGGTTTTTCACACCACCCTCACAAAAATCCAAATCTCCATTCTATTGCAATCTTTCGTTCATCTCTCAATCCTTCAGCAGCACTATCCCCGACCTTTTATCAATTAAGAAGGAAATGCACCAATCAATGAGTTATCTTTGTGATCAAGGAAATATGGTTAATGGTGAAAGTATTTCAAGTGATCTTAAGAGTAATTATATTAGTCCTTAAGCAAATAGACAAGGATGAGAGTTAGAGTGAGAGTGAGGGTGAGGATGATAATGATGATGTGTAGTGATATTAATGTTGATCCCTAACGATCTTATTTAATTTTCTACTCTTAATTATTAATTAAGTGATTTCATTGGGAGTTTCAGGTTGCTTATTTGTGTGTTTATATTATGTACAAGAATAGATATATGGATTTAGTTGTATTTATTTAGCAAACAAACTTATCTTGGAAAGTAATTATGTTATATGTGGTTGATTGTTATTCAAGATATGCATTTTAATTACTATCTGGTGTTTTAAGTGATTATTTAATACGAACCTTAAAATCTTACGATTTTACGATTTTAATCTACGATTCCGATTCCACCTTAGTTTTCGATTTTACTTAAAATCCCGATTTTGACTGCATTGGTTGTCACTGCTTTGTTAAGAGCTGCTATAGAAGTTTTCGACTGTTCTACTGTAGGAGTGTGTCTGCAGGTGAAAGGCTGTTCTTTTCCTTTTCCTTGGTCAATATGATGCAGTTTGTTGTGCAGCTAGTTTCAGCCTTTGTTTGTTACCTCGTGTGTTAGTATAGTTTGGTAGGTCTTGTTTTTCTCTTTTGTGTCTTTTGCCTTTTCTTGGGTTGTGTTTTTGTGTCTTTTTGCCTTTCGCTTCTTGTGAAGAATTTGGTTTGGTTTTTTCTTGAATTTTGCCTTCGTATGTGATCTGACTTCTGTAAATATATGTATCTAGCATAACAAATTGTTTTACTTATTTTGACATAAGCTTGTAGAAAGTGTTTTTGTGAAATTACTTATAGGTATAATGTGTTTAATGTAGGTTGATTTCCATGTCATTGATCGTCTAATGCAAGTTCTAGGTTGGAAGAACTTTGGGAAATGTTTCAAGCTAGGTAGATATAACATTTTGGGGAGTGCTGAAATATGCTACAGGTGGACATACTTTTTGGGGAAACTACAAGAAGCCAGGTGGACATACATTTTGGAAAATGCTACTTGTATAATTAGATAATAGTTTGTAGACAATGACTAGTTGATTGTGGAAACATCGAAAAACTAATTTGTCAAAATGATTGTATTTAGTAATGTGTGAGCATTATTGTGGCTTCTTTTCTAATTTTACTAGGAATCATAGCAAATACACATCTCAATTAGAATGTACTTTTTTGCATTGAATAAGTGGTCGTAAAAAGTTATTGTCTGCGATGAATGCTTTGGTCGCTGAAAGGCTTCTCTTACGAGGACTCTTTCAATGGTCGCTGCATGTATCAATTGCGACCATACCTAATGGTTGCTAATGAGAAGTATTAGCGACCACAAATAAGTAGTCGTATAAGTTAAACGATTTGGCGACCATTATTATAGTCGCATTGACAAAGTTTGGGCGACCAAAATGACCCTGTCGGCATATGTGTGGCATTTCGATGACCAAATATATGGTCGTCGAAACGTTTTTAAGCAACCATTCTGATATGGTCGTGGCAACTTGACCTTTCAACAACAAGAATATTTGGTCGTCAAATATTTATTTTCCACAACCATTTTGTCAAAATGGTCGCAATTACTATCACCGACAGCGTATATACGATCACCCTACGACCATAAAAAAATGGTTGCAATGCCTTTGGCGACCATTTTCTGTGGTCGTGAAATATCATTTGTGTTGTAGTGTAATCTATGATACATAATTTATTTTTAAAAGTAAATAAGACATATTTCCTCACATAACCTATGTGTAAAACTTCATATAGTGTGAAATATATAATTTCTAAAAAAATATATAATTTAACAATCCTATGAATTATCAAAATCAAACTCATATAGATCGATTCACTCATAAGTCGGTAATTGAATTGGCTCTCTACCCAAAATGTTGAGAGTTAAGACATCTCATGAACTCTAAACGACCCAGCTCACGAGTTGAGCTCAACAGCCCACCGAGTCGAGTTAGCTCGCGAGCTCATCGATTTACAGAAGGCTTAGCTCAAGCTCGATTCGTTAGTAAACAAGTCGAGTATCGAACGAGCTTTTCCGGAATCGAACGCCGAGCCGCTCGCGAGTTACAGAAAGCTTAGCTCAAACTTGGTTCAGCGGCGAATCTAGGGGGCTGCCCCCGGGCCACGACCCAGCCCTCCTCGGATCTGGAGCTAGTATAGCCCTTGTAAATTTCCGATTTTAGGTATTCGTTTGTGTTCTCGTCGGGTTATGGCCCAATCCTCTCTGCCTCTTTTCAAATGTGGCCCAGTGCTCTACCCTATTATGTATCCGCCGGTGATTTGGCTCGTTAGTAAATGAAACGACTATCGAACGAGCTTTTCACAAATCGAATGCCAAACCGCTTAGCTCATTTGCAGTCTACTCTTGTCGCCAAACATAGTGAACGTCCAAACCTGTAGCAGGCGGTTTATTGATGTGCGGCACCGGTACAGTGCCGGCACTTTACATTTCCCCTTACGTTTGCTAGTACAAGATATTTTGCAACCCCATTCGGTTGGCCTCAAATTGAAAAGAGGGAAGGAAAAGCCAGTGTATATGTAAAGGGCCTCTCCATGGAGCCCATTCGTAATAGCGAAGAAGAAAACCCAGACCCAATTCCGCTTTCCCTTTGAGTGCGTTGCGTACATCATTACCCCAAATGTTTACCCCAATTTGCAAATCACGTCCACCAGCCACAACTTCCGTAATCCCATCCCATACTCCTTTCTTTGTCCTCTGCCCTCTTGTGTTTGATATTTGAGACTAATCGTCAGTTCAAGAATGGTAGGAGAAAACGGTGGATAGTAAAATAAACACATGTTACAATATTAGGTAGGTGATGCAGGAGAAAAGGTTATGTGGATATGGTTGATCTATAATCTTCAAACAAAGCTGCAAAACAATGCGTACCATTGGACGTTGCATGCGTAATGGTTTTTTCAACTATTCTGCCGTTCCTATCCTAGCATGCTAGCTGCCGCCGTTGTAGAGCGGCGAAACTTCAACCCAAAAGAGTGTCATTGCGTGAAGCAAGCTCTCGATCCCCCACTATAAATAGGCTTCCATGCATTAACCAACAGCACATACAAAACAAAGACAATTTCGTAGAACACTTAAACATGTCATCGATTTCGGATTGCAGAGGTACGCCAGTCTGCTCCTTTTATATATTTGTTGATGCATTTATTGGAGTAAAGAGTGTCATCAATCAAGTCAAGTCATGATTTAATTTATTAACAACGACATCCATGCATGCATGTGAGTTGTGACAGAAATGGAGCCAATAGTAGTAGTGATAACTTTGTGGTTGTTGATCGAGTTGCGTTGCAGGCAAGACAACATGGCCGGAGTTGCTGGGAGCTGTAGGGAGGGAGGCGGCAGACACAATTGAGAGGGAAAACTCAAATGTGAATGCGGTGATAGTGCTGGATTCGCCGGAGACTGTTGTGACGGCTGATTTCCGCTGCGATAGGGTTCGTGTTTGGGTTGACACCAACGGAATCGTCACCCGAGTTCCCATTATTACTTAAGCATCGATAGCATACGTTAAATAAATAAGAAAGAGATGATAATCTCTTAACATGTATTCTGATAAGTAAATAATGTGATTTGTCTATGTTTCGTACTAATATAAAAGAGAGACTGTAATCTCTTTACTTGGCTTATTAGTTATTACTAAGCATGAGATTAAATAAGAAATCAACTTGTATTAAATTTGTCACTCTAAAATTTTTATCCATCCAACTTTGTTTCTGTTAATTTGCTTCTTTTTTTCCTAAAAAAAAAATACTAATAATAACATAATGGTTAAAGATGGAGACTATATAACTATAGTAGATGGGCCGGAAATGAATCGAGTCGAATCGATTTTGATATAGTTAAGGTCCAGTTCGATAATAAACGAGTTGAGCTCGAACTCGACTTGTTTGCTGAAACCTTGACTCATGTTTGATTTGGGCTCTAGCTTGGCTAACGAGATCTACTCGATCTTAATTCATCAATCAGTTAACGAATTTATTGGCTCTAGTTGAACTCATCAATAAACTCACAAGATCAGCTCGAGTTTAGCTTACTTATCAATAATTGAACCACATAACTAAACTCTAACATTAGTTTTAAATGGGCAAATACCACTAGAAAACCTTGAACTACGAGAAAAATGCCACTTGTGTCCCGACCTATTCAATATTCCTTTTATGTTCTAATTTTTTTATAGAGTTGACCAGCGTTGACCTTTAGTTTTTAACAGAAACCCTAGTTAGCGATGATGTGGCATATGATAGGAAAATTTAAATTCAATTTAAATTTAATAGTATTTTAAAACAAAAAAATAAAAATGAAATGGACTTTCGACTACTTCCGACATCACCCGTCTCTCACATTCTCTCTCCATCCCTACTCGCCTCCGCCCCTCGCCGCTTTCCTCCTCTGCCCCGCCGTCACACTAGCAAAGCCTGTAGTCGTTGCAGAAGAGGCGGTGGCCGTTGCTGCAACTGCACCACACCTATTCAAAGCTGTTCATTTCCGTTTCTCCTCCAAGAAACAATCGATTCCCCTTCTCCCCTCTTTACCATCCCTTCCCGCTCGCACACTCCAATCTCTGTATCCGTATCCCCACCCCAGCCCTATTAAAAATAAAAAATGGGAAATCGCTTAACTTTCGCTTTCCCCTCTCCTTCTCCCATCAATCGTTCTCGAAGATTCTGTTGTCGCCCTTCGTCACTTTGCCCAAGTAGGAAAAATATCACCTTCGCACAACTGTCAGATCCTTAGTTGATTCAATCCCCCGCTCCCTCGACCTCGAAATCACATAAGACTCCCAGTTCTGGCATAAACCCTCACAATTCACCGCCGCGGATCAACGCCGCTTTCTCAAGAAATTGTGAGGATACAAATGACAGAAAAGTATATTAAAACGGGGTAGGAATGAAATATTGAAAAGTATGGGCACAAATGACATTTTGTTCATAGTTCGGGTGTTGTAGTGGTATTTTCTCTTTTTAAATTAAAAGTCTGTTAATATTTATATGTAATATATGATACTGCGATCAATAGAGTTAAAACCACTATTCTATCTAGAAGCAGAAAAAGGGTAAAATCGTAAAGCGTAAGTTTTTTTACGAATATTGTAAAATACCTAAACATCTGTTAAGTACGACATATACTATGTAAAGTATGAGTGTACAAAATTTAGATAAATTAATAAATACCTACAATTCATGTCTAAAGTAGAGCAACTTATAGCATCTTAATAATAAGTTCATAAACATAGATCTTAACAATAAGCCACCTTCCCCTCTATGCTAATGAATTTGGGAAGGGCCTAGCTGGTGAATCAGGTTACTTTATTGAAGCTGAGAATGCATCCAAGTACCTATTATATATCTTTTAATCTCAAATGTATCATTGTGTTGGTGATTTACCTTTAAAATATACTTTTATAATCAATTTCATAAAAAGAATATACATTTAGTGAACTAGAGGCGTAAAACGTTTTGGTGAACTAGAAGTGTAAAAACGTTAACATTAAAGATTTTAGGGTAAATACAATATATTAGCTAAAACTATTAAGCAGCGGGAAATAACAGCAACAACTATCGAAATATAAATTATTAGCCATAACTATTGTTGCAGGTCAATAAATGGCTAACAGTCTGTTACAGTTGCTAACTTTCTAATGGAGAAGGCCACGTCAGCAACCATATCACCTTCCACGTCAGGTTAATTTTTATTTATAATTTAAAAATTTTAAAAATTAAAAAATTAAAAAATTAAAACAAAACTAAAACAAAATAGAGGGTAAACAACTCTTCTTCTCTTCCCTTCCCTTGAATTCAAATCTCATCTTGCTTTCACCTCATTCTCTTCTTCCTTTGCAAAGCCACGAAGGAAAAAAAAAATTTCGCCAACCGCAAGCCGACCCCATAAATTCCTTTGTCGCATTGGTAGGAGCGACGAGAAGAAGTAGGAATCTTGAAGCTTCTATGAGATGGTGGCTTGACGGTAGATTTTGAGGTGAGAGGAATCAGAGGTTGCCATTGGCTGGGGATGCAGTGAGGAGACAGAGGCTTCAACGGTGGAGTTGGGGGAGTAAGGAGGGCGAATCTATGGATAGAGATGCGGCAGCGGGGAGGAGGGTAAATAATGATTTGACGATGAATCGGGATCGGGGGCTCGTCCAGCTCCTCGGATGGTGCGTTCAAAAGACGTGCTCCTCATAGTCTACTAGCCAATGCCACACAACAGCCTCGACAAAGCCTTATACCATCCCCACGACGGCGGATTGCTTTCGTGAGGAAGCCTAAAAGCCAGCTGACGGTGAATTGGGTTTGGGGCTTGTATTGAGAAGGGGAATTGTTGGAAGGAGTTTAATTCTTCTTTCAATCACTTGGTTCTTATGTCCACAGAAGGAGAGGCTGCGAGTTTGGAATTTTCGATGACGGAGGCTAGAGAGGGAGGGAAGAGATAAGATGGATCTTATTTGTGTGGTGGGTGTGTGGACTATGGTGATTGATTTTTTTTTAAATAATAAACAAAAACTTGAAATTAGAGAATACCAACATGGCACGGTCAAAATTATGGGTCCATATTGGTGGAACGAGGAGTGGGGAGATCACCAACCGCCGAATTGGGGTTATCTTGAAGCTTCTAATAGTGGTTCTAGCCAAGGATCCGAGTGTGAAGAACTAATCCCTTTCTATGATCATCAAGAGTACTTTCCCAATTATCAACCCTCGCCATCATACCAAGAAGAATTTCTTCCACAATCAGAGCCAAAAAGCCTATTGGAGCTTTTGGTGGAGCGATTTGCCCGGGAGACCAAAGTAAGCTCTGATGTGGAATCCTCAATCACCACACATGTCGACTCATCCCTTTTAAGGACATCGGTGGAGATCCTCCGATAAACGGAGAGACTAGGAGAGGTTGTTGGGCAAGTATGTGCACAACTCGCTCACAAATGACCCTTACACGGCAAAGAGGAGAAGAAGGGAAGGTCAAAGAAGAAAATGAGGTGGCCATAGGGACATCTTCCATCATAGGAAGGCCTAGTACTGCTTTTCAAAACTTCCTCAATGAACAACGAGAATTGGACGAGAGGTTGGAAGCTAAGATGAGAGATCTTATACAAATTCATTCGAGACTCGCTCAATTGCGCCTCCACAATACTAACAATGAAGATGAAGAGGAGGCGGAAGAAGAGGAAGTGGTCTCCACGGTGGCCGAGCTAGAGGACAACGAAGATCCATTAATTGAAGAACTTTCTTGTAAACCATCATTTCTCCTAATCGTCAAGAATAAGAAACTAAAGAAGGGAGCATTGATGGGGTTGAGAGGAAGGAGGAAGAAAGTAAAGAAGAGGAAGAGCTTGATACTCAACATTGGGAACACACTTCACAAGAAGGAGAGGAGTTTGAAGATGCAATTGGAGTCCAGCCAATGGACAAGGTCGAAGTGGATGAAGCTTCCACAAGTTATGCGTACTACTCAAGCTTTCCGCCCAACCTTGATACACTATTAGAGAGGGATCCTTTTGTGGGTTCTCTTTTCCAAGACGAGGCCACGACATCATTAATCCCTCTTGATGGAGCCGATGATGACCCTTCAAGAATGCTTGAATTGGTTCGATGCAAAGAGAAACAAAGAAAATTTGAAGAGAGGTTTCATTGGAGGTGTCTCAAGCAACTACATCTACATGAGTCTTCACTGAATGATTGGGAGACTGACCAAGACTTGAGACTCCACTAGACGGATAAAAACCTCAACTTCAAGGAGGTCTTGAGCTGGACTGAGTACTTGAAGACAATGGTCCAGTGAAACGACCTAAAAGACACGCTAGTTGGGAGGCACCCAACATCGGTTTGCATATCTTTCTTCTTTTTGGAACTCTTGTGTCTAGATTAGATACTTAAAGTAGGTATTTAGATACTTATTAATTTTTTTTATCTTCAAATCAATAGTCCAATTCTAGGAATACTCCTCTTTGCCCTCATTTAGTCTTAGTGTCCATTCCTCAAGCCCTAATCGATCAACTAGATAAATTTTGCTTTAGTATTTTCCTAGTCAAATCAAAGATTGCGGGCCTCGTGTAGTTCTTCGCAACCGTGATCTTCTCCTTCTTACCCTGCGAACTTCCTAGTGTCGCTAAAGATCGCGGTCTATGGCTCAAAGATTGCGGCCAAGATCTTTTGCCCCTAGGTCGCGATCTTGTCTGTATATATAAAAGGACGATTGCGGTAGCTGCTCGGGCCAGAACCCATTTTTCTCCAATTCTCTCGATTTTCATAACATAAAACTCGAGTTTCGAGGCGGGGAACTTGAAATTTCATCTCCAACTCCTTTTTCTTCATTTCTTCATCATCTAGTTCGGGTTTTGAGCTTCTAATAATGTCTGCAAGTAGCTCAAGGTAAGTTTTCAACCCATTTCTTCTGTTTTACATCCTTTGGGCGCCGAATTAGAGGAAGGGAGAACTCGAGTTTTAGCTCTTATTTTGGGGAAATTGAGGTTGTTCTTTGGCTTGCTGGGTGAATGAGAATCAATGTATACTTGTTATGGATATGGAGTGTGGATTCGGAGGCCTTGGTGAGCATATGCTTGTGATTGATTAGATAACACCTTTCCTTTCTTCCCTTAATTAATTACAAGATTTGTATATAAGATTTCTCATTCCCTTAATTAATTAGATAACACCTTTCCTTTCTTCCCTTAATTAATTACATTCATTATTAAGCAAGGTTGTCAACCCGCGGGTTGACCAGGACCCGATCGATCTAGTGGGTCAAGGGTTAACGGGTCACCCGTTTTAGCCCAGA